CTAAACCACAAACCCTAAACCCTAAGTTAAGGCCCCTGAACCCTAAACCCCGAAGGAGTCCACAGGAAACCCAGAATCCAGCTTCAACCCGGCTTCAAAGCCTTCCTGCCACAGGCCATATGTAAGGCAATCATCATCGGGTGTCAGGAACCCCCCAAGAATTGCCGGTTTGGTCGGGTGGGAGGGTAAGCCCAAGATCCTGGAAGCAAGCATGGCCCCGAAAAAAGCCCCCAAGTAAAGCCCACGTTTGGGTTCATATTCGTAGACCTAACGCCTAAACCCTGAACCCCCAAGCCCTACAAAGATTTAGGTGTTGGGGTGGCCAAAAGACTTGTAAAGAAGGGCATGAATAGATCCTGAGACCTGAGGTTCCGAATCCCACCAAGAAACTGAAATGCAAAACCCTGAAACCCTCGAAGAATGGAGCCCTAGACCCTAGACCCTAGAGCCTAAACCCTGAAACCCTAACCCCTCGAAGAATGGACTACATGCGGTTTTGCAGCCGTTACAGTCCTTTCGGGAAATGGTATATTAGCTACTAACCAAGGATCTTACAGGTCAACCCTAAGCCCATCAATGTAGGGGCCTTAATAATTAGAAGAGGGCTTTGGGCTCCCTTTCAAGGGTTCCTAAAAGGGTTCAGGGCTACTCTAAGGGTTTAGGGTTTAGGGACCTTAATAATTAGAATAGGGTTTCGGGGGTACATTATACTATAATTATAAAAAGGAAGCCTATCAGTGATATTGGCAATTATTACGGTAGCCCTCAGCCCCAACCCCTTCGCTTCTGTCACATGGGAAGATGCAGGGCTCCGACCGGTTCACCTACACGGTGATGGGTTCTATGCTGGAGCTGCTTCTGGAATGCAAGGGGGGAGAAAAGGTCCTAGTTTTTAGCTCAAGGTTCAAGGCCTTGACTGAAGGTTGTGCAAGCTCACTTGAGTTTTTCTCTAGCAATGTGTTCTGCTGCGAATATTGGGTTCTGTTGACTGCGACAAGGGAGGTTGTAGGCTTTTGCTAGGATGGTTTTTGCTTCGATAGTTTGGTGCTTGTCTGGGATCCATGCACCTAGTATGAACAGGCTATGCAGCGCAAACTGCGCAATCCAACTTGTAATTCAAACCTACCTGGTTGCCAAGTCCTTGATCCTGCAAGCAGGAGTTTGGAGTTTGGTTGCATTTAAAATCTTGCGCGGTTCCAGCTTGCAGCTGCAGTGTTATAGATAATGCTCCTGGCGAGAACTCAACATGTCGGAAGACGGCCTTCTTTCAACGGTACCTGTGCTACATAATCAAGAAGCCCAGTAAGCGTCGTTGTCATATGGGGTTTGGGTTTTTGGCAAGTGTAGCTGTCGGGGCAGTTAGCTTCTGTTCCGGTGCTGCTCGGTTTTTCCGTGGGCAGGGTCTTGGGACACCACGATACAGGATTTTCTCATCCGATTTCCTTCGCCTGTGTGCTAAACTACATCCCCTGGGCACGTTGGGAGACCCGTGAACAAGCCAAGATATAATGGCTGTCGGGGAATCAATCTTAGAAGCTCATTTGTTTTTAAAGCCCCGCGACCATACCCAGAAGCATGACACCGACTGCTTTTCTGTATCCCCAAGCCCAAAACACAGACCCTAAATTGCCCCAAAGCCAAAGCACTCCAAGGTATTGCAATGCCATAGTCGACTTGCTGGCCAAGGGCAACCCCAGCCCGGCTCAAAGCGGAAGTGGGTTAGGGTCTACCTTGTAACTACCATAGTTAACGTTTACAAAGACCTTTCAGGGGCTTAGTCGCAGTCTTACAAGGTTTGTCGTCCAACAGGCTTGGCTTCAGAAAGCCGCCGCCAGAACCGGGCCGAAACGGAAGCTGCCAAAGCCCAAAAGCGGCCCTAGCCCACAGCTTAAGCTCTCCACAGGCCCCCCGCTGTT